ATATGTACATGTGCATTAAGCCATGAAGCCCATTTTGATAACATTTTGTAACAAAGGACCCCTTCTAAGAAGACAATAAAGCAACAAGAAGACCTTAAAAACCCTCTTGCTGTAGGCAGGGTGATGAGATCAAGGAAGAGAAGTCTGTGGCTTTGTACATTCCTCTCTATCCAAAATTAAAGCGACTGAATTCAACTGTTTCTGAGTATGTCGTGCTTCTGCAGATACCCCTTAACAGGTAAGCGAATGTGTTGGGAGGCTGATTTCTCACCCTGTGTGTCAAATCTAAAGCTGCTAGCTATTGTGTTTGTGGGGCTTTAGTAACCAAAAGAACATTTTATTTAAACCCCTAGCTAATTCTTGTCTAGACAAAGCTAGCTGCTAGTGACTCTGTGTGAAGGATTATCTGGACTCGTTCTCTGTCTGATGGTTGCAACCCCTAAAACCTTTCTCCTCCCCTGCTCAACAGCAGCTGACCGATCAGGAAGGATAAGGTGGCCTTTGCACATCTAACCTGTCAATCACAATTAGCCTCTCCTGGTTGCTCAAGCAAATATGACCTATACAAGTCTCAACACAGTAAAGTGTCCCCTCATATAGAATTTGTTGGGGTCTGTAATGTACAATTCTGCAAGGGTTCTGCATTCACAAATGTGACTAAAATCATTCCAAAGCCCCTGCTGTTCTCTTGACAGCTTTAATATACTTAATAAATAATGATTGAGATTTGTACCTGAGCCACACATGCTTAGCTGGCTGTGTGACTGAGCAGGCCAAGCTAATCAGCACTGTTCCGTCTTGTTAATCCATTAATGTAGTACACAACACAATCTGCAGGGAGAAATTCAGGTGTGAGGAAGAAGTATAGTGCATGCAATGATACAACTATTTGAGAGGGTTTGGGATGTAATTATTTGGTAATCTCTGTTGTAATTGACCGTTGTAGCTACAGTTGAGTGCTTTAGCATAATGCCACCTCTGATATGTGAGCTTTTTATGTTGAGTGGTCGTCTCTTCAGTCCTAATTAGTTTGTTTATTTTCTCTAGGCCACTCTTGTCTTTTTGACAAGAGTGGTCAAAAAGACAAGACCACTCTTGCTACCCCCAATCAGCAGGCTTGTGAATAACAATGAAGCTAAAAGGCAACATAAAAAAAACAGTTACTGGCATCCAACCCATTACCTTTGTTCTTACTGGGAAGGTTTGTTTGCTACACATGTATTTTTTTTCAACACTTTGTATTGGAGTTGGGGAACATTAACAACAGAGACAAAATAATCATTTTTCAGGCAGCTCTTAAAGGGAAATTTTGCCACATTTTATGTGGATGTCCAGTCAATGTTGATGGTATAGATGGCCATAAATTCCTCAGAGCCAGGCCAGCAGTGCCTATATTTACCAGGATGCATTGCACGCACGCTTCTGACACCTACCCCCAATCAGCAGGCTTGTGAATAACAATGAAGCTAAAAGGCAACATAAAAAAAACAGTTACTGGCATCCAACCCATTACTCTTGTTATTTAGTTGGCTTCAAATGAGGCTTAACGTTCACACAGTTTCTCTTGACTACCCCTCAGTATTACATCATTAGTCCAGCATTGCCCCATAGCCTATAATGTTAGCTATTACTGTGTTGGCCAAAACATAGTTGGGTGACAAAAATACTCACTCAATGGTCATCTGCCCTCTCAGCCCTGCTGGTCTTGCTTGTCTTTTCCAGTTTATCTTTGGGATCCTGAAGAAGGTCTGAAGCACACCTCTGTCCAAGTGAGGAGTAAAACATTGATGCATTGTAACACACGCGTGGTCTCTCTCTGGATTGGCTTCGGCGACAGCATCCAATAAAAGTTGCCCATGCTGAAATTCATTGCAGCAGAATGATTCAGTTTGTGTTGGCATTGGAGGGCAATTTGAGCAAAGACCCACCAGTTGGTGTTTGCTCTTGCATGGCTGAGACTGCAGTGGCTGCCTCTCTGCTGCATTTCCTCTGCTGTATACTCTGCCTCGAATAAATACGGCTGAATATCCAAGTCAGTCAAAACACTGTAAAATGCAATAGTTTTTCTGTGCCTCCTACTACGTCGCTGTATACATCAAATGACGACACTGGTCCTGGAAGAACCAACAGATTTTGCAGCAGGAGAACTCTGCTTTCTCAGTTAATATAGCACACAATGAGGATTATTTTTTTTGCTTCAACTCACTACATTTACCATCAAGACTGATTGGACATCTAAATAAACATTTAAAGTTTCTCTTTAATATCATGAGACAGTTATAGTCCACCACAGTCATATTTTGAGTCTTTGTCACTTTATAGCCTCTTTGTTGGTGCCCACTGCAGACAGGCCCAGATTACTCCATTTAAATGTATACAATCTGTCTCTCTCAGCAGCGGGAGAGGTTCCTGCGGCATAGTGACACTGGTCCCGGCCCTGCAGGTGATTGGCCCTCACCAGACTCCACCACCTCACCTACTGGTGCCAGGTCTGCCAAAGACAGTAGTGGCAGCTGTTCCAGACCGAGAGCATGGAGCGTTCGCACCTTCCAGGACTTCCTCCCTCCACTGCCGCAACTGCATAGGAAGTGGTGCAGCTGGAACTCCACCAGTCCCTTCACCAAGCTGGTGGACAGCGTCAGTACTAGAACCTTTTTGATGTTTTTCTTTTTTAACACTCAGGACTGATTATGCCATGTGAGGTTGATGAGGAATGGTTGGTGCATTAGTGTGTTGCAGTCAGTTAATTTGATTTGTTTCCTATATAAATGACCTTGCCTTTACAGATGTCTTGATAAGGTATTCCTATTTGACTTAAAGGGTAATTTGACCATAAGTACAAAAAACGAATCTTCTCGTGGTACTTAATGATGCAGATACTTTTGATTTTACCAGGACAATGTCTGTGGAAAGACGCAATCCATTTGAATTGACAGATTATTCTATCCTGTTATTTGTTAAACTTGAAACGACCACAATAGCAGGAAGAAATCTGTTTTCCAAAATAAAATGCATCATACCTATATACTTACAAATGCCACTTAGCATTTTCCTGTGTTGTCATAGCATGAATAAAAGCTCAGCTATAAGTTTTAATATTAAAAATGGCTGCATTCTGTTCATAGTGTAATTAATTACGCGTGTGCTTTTCTTTCTGCGACAAGTCTAAATGTCTGAAAAGTCTGGTGGGTCTACAAACGCTCATATCATTCCAGGCTCCATCCAGTTTGGTAGCTGACTGCAGAGGGGAGGACAGCAGGAGGGTCTTCTCTGATGTTCACCTGGAGGCCAAGGCAGACAACAGCACCATCTCAGACTCATCCATCAGCAATGCGTCCTACCCCCTTACGCAGCCCGCCCAGAGGCAGCGGCGTCTCAACTCCACCAGCAACCTGCGGCGCTCACGCTTCACAGGGCCTTGCTTTGGCCTGCTTTCCGGGACAGCAGACCCAACAAAGGCCTCTGGGGTTCCTCATGCCCAGGGCTCCCCCGAAGAATCCAGCTCTGGCTCCTCTCCCTCCACCCAGTGTCAGATTGAGAGTGGCCAGGCCGGAAAGAGGCGTGAGTTCCCAGGCGAGGGAGATCACATCAGCGTGCCGGTGTTTGCCATCTCTGAGGAGGAGGACCGGCAGCCTCTGGTCTCAGCTGAGCACCTGGACCAGACGTCGGCCTCCGCCACGCTGAATGGATTGGTTAGGGGGACATATGAGGGAAAGAGGCCTGCTGTTGGAAGTACCAGCTTAAGCCCTCAGGGCCAAAGGGCCAGACCGGAGTGGAGGCCATGGGGGAGCCAGGTGTCAGGAGGGGTTGGTCCATTCCCTTCCAACGCACTCACCACCATGACAGAGTCAAACACAGTCGGTGGCAGCCAGCCGTCCCTCAGTCAGTCCACAGTGCTCTGCAGTGTGACCAACCAGATGTGACCTTTAAAGTTGGTGAAAAGAGCCTCTGAGACTCTGGTGGGCAAGTTATACATTTCTGAACTCTGTTAGTGCCTCTTTGTGAAATATATAACCCACTTCTTTAATTTCTGAAATCAACTTTTACAAAAATAATTACTACATATATTGTAGCGTCCTGCTGGCAAATGTATTCTTCTCTCTAGTTGTTTTCTATTTTTATAAAGTCGTGGACAAAGATGGAATAATGCTGTGCTACTATGTGTTTAAAAAAAGGTGACCGATTACAAACATAAGTATTTTCTGAGTGAGTACACTATAACCCCCCCAACTCTTATGAGCACACAAAACCAGATTTATTAACCAGTATGACGCTATTCCATGACTTGTAACACTCCAACAATTGCACTTTGTTTTCAATAGATCATTCATTGTGGATTTTGCGCTGCCTTGTGCCAGCCTTCTGCTTTTTCCTTAATGTGGTTCTTCATGTGGTTATTTTTAGCACAGGCTCATAAATGCTTATACAATTACTTATCACCCAAAAGTATTCTTCAGAGCATAGACCGTACAATTAATGCTGCAACAGTTGTATGCATACAGTATGTACTCCTAAGGTGCATACTGGATTATAAAAGGGAAATTAAAAAAAAGAAAAAAAAAACACTTATACACACACTAATAGTATAAAAGAGAACTAGCCATCACAATAGTATTTAAAATAAGTTGTGAATTGATGTAAAGTTTGAATAAAGGCTATGTCATTCACGTGGTGTGTCCTTGATGCAAGATGTTACATGAACCTCAAACTTTTGGGGGGGACTAGAAAAGTCAGGATTTTGTGCTGATCTTTTGTCTGACTTTAGTTTTGTGATCCAGCACCTGTTAAGAGTTTTTGGATGTGCCATTTGGAAAAACGTGACTTTACTCTATTTACTTGTACACCATTTACAATAGGTGACACTACAGATAATTATTTGCTACTCTGTACTCCTAATGTCAAGTTTTTTCCACAGAAAAAGTTAATTAACCTTTTAGAATAACACATACTTCTTTCCCTCATAGAAAAATCCAGAGTGAATAAATATACAACACAGTAAATATGCAAGAGACTTTTATGGTATTGACAAAAGCAAGTCAACTTCTACATCAGTCTTTTAATTTGATTTGTTTAGATTAACAAGCAAATCTGATCCATATTTCAAAGACAATTTCAGCATTGCTAATACAATATACAGGGTAAAGAGGCATTTCTCAAATGTTTGTCAACAACTTGCATGTGCCTAGTGCTACTTTAATTTTTTATTATAATTAACTATAGGTTGGTTATAATCTAGACTAACAGTTCAAATAGTGCATTGCATACAAAGTTTACAGGCATCAGTAAGGACTTCAATCGCTCATATTGAGAACGCATGCCGAGCTTTGCACTGATGTGACCGACTCTGATGCCTGTTCAGTCACCCATATTCTTGGGAGCTGCGATGAGGTAGAATGAAACCTGCCTCTTCCATACTGCTGAGCAGCCTGGTCTAGACTTTTGCACACAAAATGAGTAAATATTTGCGTTAGTATACAACATACCCTGCAGGGAGAATGCAAGGCACCCCTCTAAAGCCTCTTTAATACCAATTCCTGATTGGAGCGGCTTGGGACTGTTGTTGGCTTAGGGTGCCCAGATCGCCGGTAGGGAATAATTAAAACCCAGCCGCTCTGACGCGTTATCGACCGGGTTTTTTGCAGAGGGCCTGAGCTGCTAAGGAATGCCAGTGTGGACCCACCATGACTTCAGGGGTAAAAAAAAAAAAACATTTTGAACAATAAGATCACATAAACCACCTTTCTACCACTACAAAGTAACTCAGGAGCTCAGACAGAGGCCAGGAAAATGCCGATTTTGCCACCAACATTTACAATGAAAATATGAAGGGCTACATTCCAAAACATCATCTTTCTTCCTGATGATGTACATGATCTCATTTTGGAATAAAACTCTTATGATGAGCCAGAGTACTGACATCTCTCACGCTGGATAAAGACAGTATGTTCATATTATAACCATGTCAATTTATAAAGACGCCTTTCCATTTGTGTGAGACAAGGTATGTGCAAATATCCTCAGCTGTCCAGTATAAAATCACACCTAGCAAACATTTTTAGACATATTTAGTATGTATTCTTCTAAAATCAATTGAAAAACTAAGACCAGCATTTGTGTGTGAAATACAAAATGTACTGGACGCATGCTAAGGCCTGCTTTTAACATATCCTACTTCTTACCCACCAGCATTTTCTACACACCAATAATAGTGATCCTACAAAAAAGGCAAACATCAAGACTATAACTTCATCCGTGTATTTCAACATACTGTATAAGGCTTCTTGAAACTAATGTCTGGATGTTCTTATCTGACTGGACTAAGTAAGTCGCAGACTGATTTTGTCAATTTCTAGTAGCTGTGCATGTTTGCATGATGGGGTCTTACTGACACTTGGGTGATGATAGTCATAAATGTGAGGTCACCAGATTCAACATGTTGATACAGAACTCGTCTAACCAGCAAAACATGGTTTACCTGCAATAAAAAACAAAAAACAGCAGCTTTGTGTATCTGAGGAACCAGAGAAAAGCTAACAAAACCCCAACTAGTATCTCCTAAAACATCAACAGAAAAATCTACTATCTGAAAAAACTATATAATTCTTGCAAGGTAAGCAATAACATGTATAATGGGAACATAAGTGACAATTTAACAGAACATAGTGTTGTACTGGCAAAATTATTTACGCCGTTGGTTTTGCAAGTGCATCCTGCAGAATTCCACTAAAAGGCAACCTCACCTTCAGCATATTTAACCGTTACTGGTTGCCAGGAGTGCAGTTTATTTTTTCCTCTCAAGAGTCTACATGGACTAACTGCATTTCATTAGAGCTTAGTCCTTACTACAAGGCTCTGAGAAAGCATCCCTTCTACACTACTTTAATCACCTTGGAGATGATTATCCAGAGCAAAATAATACAACAGAGCCCCCGGTAACCTCTGACAGCACCAGTGATCCCTTTCCAATCCCCTGGGATTATGAACCTAAACTAGTACATATGCAGGACTTTAAAGTGGCTTTTTGCCCTTGTCTGGGAACACAGTAATGCCCTGGCGAAAACAAGTTAAAGGTAAGACACGTACACATTTTATAGTATAGTCTCAAGGTTGGGTCTTGCCTAGAACGGTGCTTCAGAGTTTATTACGGTAATTCTCTGCATCACTTTACTCTGATACGTATTATTTCTTCGGCATTATGTAGTAGAAGCCCAGGATTCTTAACTCAGCGTTCTTCACATGTTCAAAATTAAAGAAAGCAAGAAAAATAAAAGGTGTTATAAGCCTCAATTGCCAAGACTGGAGGAGGACATAATGGAAAACATGCTCACTAACATGTGAAAACGCACATAAATGCCTCACTCGCTCTTAATCTGAGAAAACCAACATTTTTGTCACAGGCTAGAGGACATATCAGGAAGCATTTTTAACAAATAAATTACTCCGATGGTTGGTGACCTGCCAGACGAGCTACAGCCAAAATCTATCTAAATTTAAATAAAGGCTGGTGTTAAATGCCCCTAACAGGTCATGACTCTAAAAACCATCTTAAACCTTTTGTAAACATTGAACTTTAATGTTGTTGTGCATAGTATTATTTCACACAGCCCTGTGTCAGGTAAGACACAGGTCACTATTGTAAATGGATACTGATTGTAATTTCGGCATTAGATTATTGCATAACATCTGGAAGGCAGTTGGCTATAATGGACACAACAAAACTTAATAAGATCGTGTTTACGAGATGCTCAGTTATCTACATTTGACACGTGAAGAAACAAACCACTCTGCTTCTTCAGCTCTTGAAACGTGTCTGGTCACATATGTGGTTGAATTTCCTGAAATGAAAAAAAGAAATAAAAGAAACCAGATATATTAAGAGCTGCATGTAAAACACACAAAACCACAGAGATGAGATTACATGAAGCATCTTAAATAGGTCTTCACAGTAGACATTAGGAACTATAGCACCAACTTTATACGAGGACTCCGTCTAGTGGTAAAATAAGTGAACAACATGCACAGGGCTGGCACCGTGTCTCACATCTCTGTCATGTCTTCCAAAATGCAGCCTGGACTATTCTCAGATTTATGACTCAGAAAAAAAAAAAAAAAAAAAAGACCTTTTTGGACGATATCCATCCAGTTGGCTGTAACAGCATGCTATTTAAAAATAAATAAAGGCGCGCCTTTTCTAAATCATCTATAAATGCTCTGAAATATAAATATAAATATTTCATTCCTTTAATTAAATCGACCTTTATGATTTCAGAGATATGACCATGGAGGAAGAAGTGGTGGTTTACGCCGCAAACTACCGCCACTTCCTTCAGTCCTGCTGTCAAACGTTCAGTCTATCAGACACAAGATAGATGAGCTGGAAACATCCGCCAACTTTAAAAGAGGAAGCAAGAGACTTGCTTGTCTTCTGAACTTAACTGGGTTTGGAAGCCCAATTCGTATGGACCGGTCACCGGAGATCACCAGCACAAGCCGAGGAGGAAGCTTGTGCTTCGGCGTAAACAAAAATGTATTGTAACACTGTCGTGATCAGAGATAAGATATGTGAATTTCCTGAATTTCAGCAGCTCTTTTACACATTACTGTACATTCACCCACGATCCAACGCCACAGCTGCTGGCCAGCGGGTCGCTGACGTCACGCATAAACAGGACGCTATCTGCCCAGAGGCACCCAAGTTTACCCTTGGAGATTTCAATGACTGCAATCTAAAAAAAAAGACTTTAAGGGCATATGAACAATATGTGACTTGTTCTACCACACGGAAGAACAACATGCTGGATTTATGCTATGGCTCAGTAATCAGGGCTTAGAAATCTCTGCCCATGCCTTCTTTTGGTGCTTCTTACCACAGCAGTGTCTAACTCATGCCTGTATACAAGCCCTCCTTCAGGCGCCTGGAGCGGGAGGAAAGGACAGTGAAGATCTGGTCAGAGGCCAGCATCTCCTCTCTCCAGGCATGCTTTGAGTGTACAGACTGGCAATGTTTTTATGATGGTTGCGATGATATTAATAAACTCACAGACACCGTTTCATCATACATCACATTCTGTGTGGACTCTGTAATCCCAACTACAAAAGTGCTTACTTACCCAAATAATAAACCCTGGGTGACTAAGGAACTTAAAGCAGGCCATTAATAAAAATAATAATTTTTTATTCAGGAAACCCCCTGGAGAAAAAAGCAGTTTCCAGAGAAGTTAAAGACGAAATAAGGAGAGCCAAAATTTAAAGTCTGTATTGTAGAGGGGACCTCAGGGCAGCCTGGATAGCTATAAAATCCATGGCATCAATTAATCAGTCTTCCTGTGTGACCAAGCAGGTCATTCATGTAAATGGTGAGGATGATGCTGACTTGGCAATTGGCTTTAATTTATTCTTCTCTCGTTTTGAAAGGTCAGACTCTGTGAATGATATCTCTAAGCTGCGGGAATCTTTGGTTCCACAGAATGATCTAGTGATAACACCAGGAAATGTCACAAATCTTTTCAAGAAAATGTAAAGCTGTTGGCCCCAATTCCATCTGTGGACACACTTTGCGTCACTGTGGGGGACCAGCTCAGCGAGGGGTTCACATCACTTTCAGATGTGCATCGAGTGTGTTCAGATTCCAGCCATATGGAAAACATCAAACTATAATACCTGTCCCAAAATCCAATAATCCAAGAGAACTGAACAAATTCAGACCAGTTAGTCGAGAAAATACTGAAAACTGGCAAACTAGATCCACTACAATTTGCTTATCAAGCTGGGAAAGGTGTGGATGACTAAGATTTTCATTGTAGACAGATAATACAAGAACCTTGAAAATCCCAAATCAAATGCTAGACTTATTTGATGATTTTTCTTCAGCTTTAACACAAGATGCAGCCTCTTATTTTAATTTACCTGATCAGATTTTATAGTTGCTCTTAAACTTTTTTTTTTCCTTTTTCTTTACAGACAGACTCCGGCAGGTATTTGTGAATGGCCACCTGTCCGGTATCATCACTTCAAATACAGGTTCTCCGCAGGGCTTTGTCCGTTCTCATTTGCTCTTTATTATGTACACAGGCAGCTGCAGGACTTCCCAGCAGGGTAGCGAGCTACCTTGCAAAATTTTCTGATGACACTGCCCTATCGTCACTTCTTCAGGGGCTCAGTCGGGTCATGGGAGTGCCTTATCAGCATTTGTGAAGTGGTGTGATGATAACTACCTGGACCTCAATGTGACAAAAACTAAGGAGTTAATCATTGATTTTAGGAAGAACCGTTTTAACCCAGAAGCCAGCATGATTCATGGAGAAAATGTTGAAACTGTAGAGACGTATAAATACTTAGGAACCATGTTTGACTCGAACACAGAAGCGGGGACAACAAAAGAATCCACTTGATGCGGAAGCTAAATTCTTTTAATGGTTTCCCAGAGTATCTTATGTAACTTTTATTTTTCGTTTATTGAAAGTCTTTTTACATTTTCTTTAATCTGCTGGTTTTATGGATTCTCTGTGAAGGTCTGATGCCCAAATGCAACATGAGGTCATTGACAGGGTTTCTGAATGCTTGATTGATTGTTGAAACGACTGGCAGGCTAAAACTGAATTGGCCTACGGGGATAAATAAAGTTGTTTTAATTGAATTGACCAAGTGTCATCTGTTTGTGTTCCAGTACATTGGTTTTTTGACTGGTGCAAGCAGGTGGGGCCCCGCTGCATGATGGACAATTGTTTACAGTACAAATTATGACTACTGATGCACAAATTGTATAGTAGAGAATCAAGACGAAGCTAGTGATACAGTCGTTTGAAGCTGCACTTCTACTCTATAACCACTAGAGGACAGACAGGCTGTATGAAACTGAATGCGGTCACATGGTGCTTTTTAGGACTTACATTGCATGATGTGCCTTCACCTGCGTACGACAGTTGCGTCCCCAGTAACAGTCAGGACGAGACTTCACAGCAGCTGAGGAAAGAACATGAGATTAAGTTGTTACGTGGGTAAGTCGAAAAACAGTAAACCTTATTATGTCTAGGCTGTACATAAAAGCTGAAATATCATTAAAATTGACTTGACAAAAATGATTTTCGTCTGTCTGACCTGGCAGTTCAGTTGCAGGGATGTTTTGTCTGTACTTGTAGGCCAGCTCCTTGAATGCTCGCAGGCCGCAGCAGAAGCACAGGACGGCATTTGCGGAGATACGACAATCTGACAGACACAAGAAGCACAGGTTATTACCACTTTTTCTTTTTACTGGGACAGTGTGGACTTAACTCACAGCACAGACAATGTGGCGAAATTGTTTGAAATGGGTCTTCTAAATGCATCAACTATTGAGTAATGAAAGTCCCTTGGGTTTTGATCTCAAGAGGCTCACCTGTCAGATAGTAGTTTCCCTGCTGTAATTCCTGCAGGGACTCCTGGAGCAGATCTCTCCATGACTTACCTCTGGAGGACAGGTAGTTCTGGTGGAAGAATGGAAACACGCAAACAAAGGCACCTTAACATCACCTGTGACGTGTATAATGATAAAAGCTGTATTTGTTCTACAGATAGTCCATCTTACCTGAAGGATCTCTGATTCATAGTTATTGTTATTCAGCACACCATCTAGGCATTTGTCTGTCAGATTGAGCTCTGAAAAAAATAAAAATAAAGACAAAACATTTAGCAAACTACAACAAATTAATCTGAGAAGCTACTTCACAAAGATGATTTTGCGGCTGCATCTTTGTGGTACAGACATTCAAGGAATCTACAGAATCCAAAATAACAGATATTGTCCTACTAAAAGAATCAGCCCATACAGGTCAAACCCCACCAATAAGCCTAACAGTGGAGATCTCCCTGGGGCTATTTTGCTGAAACAGATACATACCGCTGAATCGAGCCAGACAGCCTTGACAGCCAATCCTCTGGCAACCCCAGTACATATGACAGAAGGGTCGCTGGCACAGCACACCTGCCAACACACAGCACATCATGCATACAAGGTGTAAGATGGAGTTTGTGCAACAATCTATCCATACATGTCAACAGCTCTGTACCCGTACTCTGCACAAGGACAATAAAGTTGAATCTAATCTATCTAACCTAATCGGCTGGCAAAGTTGTACTTTAAATATCAGCTGATTTTACATGTATTGCTTCCCTCACAGTATGTATATCAAATATGTCTTTATACTGAATAGCTTATTAAGGTGTAGTAGCACGGACTGGATTATATTATCTACAAATATTGTTTTCCTTTCTATTTCACTGTAGTTATTTTTAGTTTTGTGAATATAATTTGAAAATCAGCCACATTACATGTCTGCAGAGGGACTAACAAGCTCAGGGACCACTCACATTGCTGAGCAATAACCTGCTGGCTGTTAAGCTCGGCTCGTCTGTCTGGCATTGGCTGGAGGCAGCAGGTGCAGATGAGATGGCAGCCCTGAGGAGGGCAGCGGTACTCCTGAGGAGCTGCAGACAGGGCGGGAGCAGAAAAAGATTGTATACGGGAGCTACGGCGTGAAGATCTGAACGGAAGGCAGGAGGATCTTCACAGTTGTGCTTTCAGATGCATTTTCAAGTTACTGAACCCACTGTAATTCTGGCATAATGTTTTTGGTGTTAGGACAATAACAGAACGCTGTTCCTTGAAATTTGCCATCTAGTCAAATGTTTAACATGAACTACTGATCTTAAAAATCTAATATACACTCATAATTACCTGAGGGGATATCAGAGGAGGTTGAGGGCTCCTCCCCTGTGGGCTTTGCAGACCCCTCTTCAGTTGCTGGTTTGGGTGGAGGAGGTATGGGAGGTGGAGCTGGCAGACCAGGGAGCCAGTAGTTTGAACCTGTAGCAAACAGCAACTGACTGACGTCCATCCTGTAGCCAGGACACTGTCTGCACATCACTAGAGGCTGACTGGGGACAAAAAAAGCCACCAAAGATGATAATGACATTCACATTTCACATTTATGGCCTTCTGAAGACCTGTGAACATTTCACACCTGGTTTGTTAACCTCCAGCTAATGTTTTCATTTTAAAGCCAATGCAACACATTGCTACAAATATTGTTTCCTAGTGTTCATGTGGTCAACACAACTGATTCCATAATGAAAAGAGAGCAAATCTAAATAAAAAGTAAACTTTGAAAGTGTAATCTGTGACAAAATGTATTACATTTTTCATCAACAAATAATAATAAATAAAAAAAAACAACGAATGGACAAATTAACTCATTGTTTTCATTCAAAGTCTTGTATCTGCAGTAGATATTGTAGCTCCTGATTAGTAAAACAGTGTCCTTTATCACTCAAAATATCTTAATTGAGCCACTTGTTGAACTACAGTTAAGAAGCATCTTGCATCCAGCAGTGTTATGTCTCTGTCAGTAATTTCTGACCAAAAGAAACAGATTAATGGACTAAATTCATCTATAATCTACTGAGAAGTGAGGAAGGAGCTGCAAAATAAAACAGCAGGGACAAACTAGGCAAACATTCAGGGAGCAGATCAACATATATAAAAAAAACGGTAAGCAAAATGTAACTTCAAGAGCTGCGGATGTGGATGCAACATGTTACTTTCAGTCAGCTATGGTTTGTCAATTAATGTTGACAGCCAACCACCTAAATCTTCCGCTAGATTAAATATCACTATGTTTTAGATTTTCCTCTCAAGCTAACCCAAACAGTGAAAAGTATTTTAGTAAACAAGCGAGAGAACCCAGCTTCTGAATGATTCACTGCTCATCTGATATTAGCAACAACACACAGAGACAGAGAGATTGATTCTGTTCAAACAGACAAGAGTTTATAATGACAAGCCTTCGTCCAGCTGAGGAGAATCACGATTCAAACGAATTGACATTGTCAACACTAATTCAGAATCGGGTGCCAAAAAGAACACACGTTTCTTACAAATACAAACAACCAAACCTTTTTTACCCAATATCTGAGGAGTCACTGTCATTGTCAGAGAGCTCAAAGAGGTAATCTGAACTTCCCTCCTCATCAGAGAAAGAGCGGTCAACTTTTGGCTGCAACATGTCCTGAGTTATCTTGTTACGGCTGTCCATGCTCTTCAGGTCCTCCTCACTGCGACACTTTTCTGTGGAGACACAAAAATATACAAAGTCAGTATCTAATAAGATTTTTTAGGAATTAGATACTATTTTGGAAACTATACAAGGTCAGCAGATCATGCATGGATCCCATTCCTTCCCTCTTGTTTGGATCTCTTTCATGTCACCTTTGGTAGAAAACCCTTAGCCACAGCTGCATTTCACTGACAACATGTTATGTAAGGCCACTTTCCCATCCACTTTGAACAGGCAATAAAAAAGGTGCTAATGTGTCATGATTAAACATTGCTATAAAAATGTCTTTATCTGTGCAGACCTGGGTGCTGGATGAGGTAGGCCTCCACCAGGTTGTTGAGGATGTGGTTCTTATGAATCTTCTCCACAGGGCAGCGGCAGGTGGGGCAAAGAGAAGAACGCTCCATCCAGCCTGAGTAGCAGGCGGCACAGAAGACATGCATGCAAGGCTGCAAGCTAAAGCAAAAACAAAAGTAGAATTAAACTCACACACTTTTGGCATTTGGTGGACGTGAAAAGTGCCTTACGAGACCACAAAGCACGACTCCCATACCTCGGATTTCTGCGCGGTCCTTGAGATCTTACCTGACACAGTCGTGGAGTAGGTCCTGGCAAATAACACATGTCAGGGTCTCCTCCATCTTGTCCGTCTTCGTCCCTTCCACTTGTGGTTTAGATGAACGACTCCTAAGACTTCCCTCAGGTGAACTGACCACTTCTGTACAGGAGGTGTGTGGCAGGCCCAAATCATAATCTTTATCTGTAAACACAATAACTGTATATTACACGCTACACTGAGTTTTTGGCAGTTTTCCAGTTTGGGGTTTGGAACAAAAGCTCTAAGTACAACTCTGGTAAGACATAAAGGGCCCTAACTTGATTTGTGCAAGTGCAACGACATGTGCAAAGTGATATGCGCACAGACTGTGTGGGCGACTCCAAGAGCACACTGCTATTTTGGTTCATGTATGTGCAGCAGCACAAAGGGGCTGCCTGAAGGTGAATATAGATCAAACATTGCCGTGACTAATAGATACCCTCTCAGCCAATCACAGTAAAGTATGAGAACATCAGTTCAACAGCTGAAGTATCAACTTCTCCAGGAAAAATATTATTGTCTGGATGTCTGGACAAAAGTTGGTTCTGAGTCTATTCTCAGTCCAAATACCCAATTTCCACCAAAATACAGACAGCTCACTTTGTGCTGTCTAATTTGAATGAACCTCCCACCCGTTTGCGTCTCTCCCACCACCCGTGCACCATGCGCTCGGCACAAAAACACCACAATGACAAGCAGAGCAAATACTAAAGCCAGGAAAATACCAAACTGTTGTGCTGGTCATTGCGCTGTCACAAAAAGGGACGACAATTGAATGTGAGGAAACTAGGTTAATCTCAAAATTTAAAACAAAAAAACTACCATCATCTGTTTTCCTCCTCTTGCTTTCTGGCTCCATGTTGTCCATGTCTTTTTCATGTGCTGGGGAAGCATCTTGAGCTGCGCCTGATAAGATGGAAGAACATCAGCCCAGAATCTAACAACGTTGTTAATACTTAAAACTGCTTGCTTTGACATACAAACATTACGGAAGGACTAAGTTCAAAAAGTTTACACTAGGGGTGTTTCATATCAGATATTTCTTGATAGTACTGGTATGTTTCTTACTGTGATAAAAATTCATCACATCAAATATTACAATGCGGTTTACATCATGACTATTTACAGCAGGCACACTGCAAGGCTGTGAGGAAATGTGAAGGTTGCAGCCGGCTCCACTACGGAGCAACTTTGATAGTGTGAAAATGGTTCAATTAAAATTATTGGTAAAGGCGGAGGAAAACATTTAAATTAATCATAGTCAGGTGGGGATTTTGGAGGGAAAAGTCTACGCACAAAGCAGATGAGAGCAGACGGCGCCGTCAGTTAAACACCAGGCTGAGGATAGTGTGATATACACCAGCTGGAGTTCATTTAAAGTTCAGTACTGAAGAGCAGGTGTGTTTTCATCAATGACTGTGATCAGTGTTATTTAAAAATAAGAGCACAGAGCTCTGTCTGCTCCTTTAACTGTGAACCCACCATCTATTACACAGACAAAATACAGAGGTTGGCTGGATGAATCTGACCCCACCATCTTATCATCATCATCTCACTTAATCAAACATATCCTTTTCTGTTGCTACTAGTGCCTTTAAAAAAGAAATAGGTTGATGTACTTTGATAGTGCTCTCACATCTGGCCATTTAATATATGAAGCTATAGCCAGGAGTTTAGCTTAGCTTAGCACAAAGACTGAAAACAGCTAGCTTGGCTCTCTCCAAAAGTATAAAAAACTCAAGTGTAAAAGACAACATGTGTTTTTACTGGAGGTTTGTGTGCCGAACTTTTTCTTGGCCGGAGTCTTATCACCGCTATGAGGATACCAAGCAACCACTCTGGGAGACTCAGGGAAGTCAATGCTCCCAGCCAAGAAATAGGCTAGAACATAACCACAGAGAACATTCCTCACACCAAGGGATAGATGCTGCAATCATTAACAATTCATCTACATAAATTACTAAAACTTCACAAAAGGTAAATGTATAAAAAAGGGATTAACTGTTGTGAATTTCCAGAGAGAGAGCTGAAGAAAAAGTCTGCATTGTGTTAGCAGAGAACCTACCAGAAGCAAAACAGGCTGCTGCTGCCGTGGGACCAGAAGATGTGGTAGGGCTCCCAATACAGAAGTGGGAAGCGGAGGTGGAGGGCTGAGGTTCCTCCTGAGTTGGATCACGAGGAGCCTTTGTGAGCATTACAGGCTCCACAGAAAGCAACATATCTGAAGGTGGAGCAGGACTGTGGGCTGACCTCTCCATGTCTGAAGTTCAGATACAGGGTGAGGGTTACTAGTGAGGCACAAAATACACTGAACATTGTTTTTTTATTGCCCCCATTCGTCTCAAAGATCTAAGACTTTCTCAATAGCCGCATTGCGACAAATAATACCTGGGACTTTTAAACCCCTGGATCTCCTTTCAACGAACTAAAATGTTCCTCAGCCAACTGTTGTGTGCATTTCTACCGTGGTCTAAAGACCTGCAAAGATTAGGCAAATTAATCAGCTGATATATCCACCATACAAAGCGATGGACAGGCATTATTTAGTAAACACCTGAACATCAGATTTGATTGGAATATAATGAAAAACTGTAGGCTATGCTTGACCAGCTTTTTTGTGTGAGAGTATAATGAAGAGAGACACGATAAAGTTCATTGCAAATTTAATAACAAACTGGATAAAACCATCAAGTTCATAAAATAACTCCAGCACAGAGAAAGAAACTCAAACATAAAATCGCAACAGTTTGGAAGGTTATTAAAACATTTCCAGCCGACAAGCGCTGCAGATCAGCTGGCAGCACTCACGTTTGTGTCTGCCTGAGGAACATGATGTTTAACGAGCTTTATTAACTGCTGTAATCAGCTGTTCCGCTTGTTTTGGAGAGGAGGAGACAGACTTCGGATCTTTGTAAAAACCTCCTGAGGGAGCGTAACTCCCTCAGCAGTTCGCTGTGAACACACCGCTGAACACTGGCTGCTATTTCCGAACTATAAATATAATGGCGACGTACGATCTCAGGCTGACATCGGTGAGACTTGTGTGCTATCTGGCTGTTGATAGTGATTTATTGGTTAGCAAGCAACTGTGGAAAAGAGAGGAGCAGTAGTAGAAAAACAGCCGACAAGCTCAATTTAAAGCCTACTCGCCCATTCAGAAAGTCAGTGCAAGGCAAGCCCCACCCCTCCCAAAGTACCAGTACTTTCGGGAAGTACAACCCCCCATGCTGGGGTGTAAAATAAAGACCCTAGAATAACATATAGACCCTGGTCCCTGGGTCGATGGACGAGTTCCTTTGGTCGAAATGCAGCTCATCCACAAAAGGCCTATTTCTCCCAAATCTCTCAAATCTCAAAATCTGTGTTAGCGAGCAGTGGATTATCTCGGCAAAGGAGAAGTGCTCACTAACACAGATTTGTGAAGAATATTTGAGAGAAAAAGACCTTTTGGGTACATAGAGAAAGTCTTAAATCTCTGAGTTCAACTCATGATGAATGGGGGCAAAAAAATAAAAACTAAGTGTTGCGTTTATAATTTTGTTCAGCATAGCTGTGGAATAAAAAGGGGTTGCATTCAACAATAGGAGTTGTGGGGAATTTCCCAACTACTTACCATAACCATGTTGAGAAATGGCAGGCTCCATATTCAATGAGTGGTAAACATAGGCAATGTCTACACAATGACAAGAGAAAATGTTAGCATTTTCTTTCTTATTCATACAAAGATTATTCTCACGGCGAACAAAATAAACAACTCACTTTGTTCTGGCTCACTTTTCCTGTATACAAAATAGATGACATCGCCGTTCTGCAGCATGTGGGTTTGCTTTTTGACTAGTTTGGACATGTTGATCACCGTGCCATTAGTGCTACAGAGAAAAACAATGCAGTTGGATACACTGGATCACCATGCGCTGTGTTTAATTTAATGTCCAAATAAAACAGTTCTCTACAAAACTTTATTATATTATTCATCTGAGTCCAACAGGAAACAAACACATAATACATGTCATGCTCCAATTGTAGCATTCAATGATGGGTGAATATTCTGCACACAGTACCTCATGTCTTCCAGCCACGCCAGCCCTGAGCCTTCATCTTGCACAATCTTGCAGTGCTCCCCTGAGACCAATTTGTTGGCTGGAAAGGACAGGTAACATCCTGGTAACAAAAATATATAAACCATCACAATGAGAACACAATACAGATACTGGCACTCTAAGACAGAGCCTTCTCAATTCATTTTTCAGCTTTTATTATGCCGTTTGTTTGGGTAATATATGTATCTGGTTAAGAGTATGACAACACATAAAAATAAAATAATAAATCTCCCCCTCTGACCATTTGTAAACAATTGGCTGATCTGGCAATACAGCCCTACATCTTCAGCCTATCTTTTAAAATGAATTGCTTCAAAATTCAGCTTCATCTCATCTTGGCATGACAAGGCTTTTATTGCCCAGACAAAAGCTAACCAATTAAGGCTAGTCGCTTTGCATTGCAAAAAAGTAGACCCCAAAAGCTCTCGACAACAAAGCACACACAGGGGGAAATATAGGGCTAACCTTTTCTTAAGCAAAATCCATACAGAAAAAATCTACTTAATATTCTGCGCACAAGTTCTCAATGGACGCCTTTTGTTATCATCACAAGGAGCTGTCTAAGTTTGGTGCACTAAAGAAGGCTTTGTGTTTTCAAGGGGGAGGTTTAAAAGGCCCCAGACAGTGACAGCTACAGACAGAGCTGTCTTTTGTTAACAGGCATCACCACTTTTACAGCTTTTTAAAGCAGGATATAAAAAAAATTCAAAGTTTTATGAAATACGATTAAGTTGAAGACTTTATTGCTCATTCCATAACACACAGAAACTCAACATACCTTTTTTTCTACCAACTGTGCATTCCCTGTTGAAAAGCAGGACAGTTTCACTTAAGTCCACCTTGACTAGCTTTCCCCATGGTCGTCCTCTTCGATAACTGTCCATCTCCCACTGCCTTTTCTATAAGAATTGTTAGAGAAAACAATTGTTTTATAGACTACTAGGGCAGATCTAGGCAAAGAGAAAGTGAAATCTCTCATCACATTTTGTGTAAGCTGTGTAAATAAGAACTGCTCAGACATTTTGTGTGGTCACTAACCTTAGTTGTTTTATCCATCAAACTAAGTGTTACTTAGCCAACTGGTTTCTAAGATCAGATGCAAAATTAATTAATCTATGCATCCATGCTTCATATAGATATTAATCCAGACTCCAACTTATGGGGCTGTTAAGTTTAACAAAAGTTTAAGTCCTACAGTTGTGTTTAGCCATAACAGTTACACAAAACGTTATCATTTTAAGTAACACTTATGACTGTGAAATTGATTTGAAATCCTGTGCTGTTGGATATATCATGTTTTAAGTGTGCCGAAATCACAAGTGATCTTTAAACATTCAAAAAAAGATGATCAGCAACATAATGATAGATATGCAGCTTGCCAAAAAAGCAAGCCTACATTAAACTGAAAGAGTTTCTCATGAAGTTTGGTGAGGAACCCACTGGGGCAAAAGCTGCTAACGAGACCTAGCTTGGCTTTTCTGAGCTTACTAGCCCTTTAGCATTAGAAGATTGATGTTTGACAAATTGGAAAAAGGTAAGTTATTTCAATCGTCAACTATCAATTTGACAAAATGTTTCATGATGCGGGATATTCACACCTAACGTGAACACACGTAACTTCGTTCAATAATAACACTAAGCTAACGCGATTGCTAACATTAGCAGCCAGCCTAACTGTATCCAAGAGAAATCGGAAACACACTTCAACAGCCACAAATGCCCGTAACGTTTTACTTCTCTCACATCTTAAAGGGTTACTTTACCGTCAAAAGCGTAGTTTGTTGTCCCAATAGTTTTGTATTAAACAGCTTCTTGTCCTCATGATCCAGCTAGGCACAATGTGCACTTCCTGCCCAGCTCTGCCTTGACATCATATACCGTTATCAGCTGATGGAGGAGGGGCAGTTTGGGTTTGTGGTTAAAACTACGTGTTTGTGCGTTTGTGCCTCAGCTGCCACCCTCGGAGCAAAACAGACACTATTGGCCGGTAGGTATAATATGTGTCAGAGAAGTTAATGTGGAAGTGGAGTACGAAATACACCCAGCCAGCAGTGCCTGCAACAAATGACACATGTAAGCATTTTGAGAACAGAGACATTTATTTTTCCATACACATGGCATACTCTGAGTCAAGACAATGCAATCTGTTATATTGTAGTTATTATACTGTATGGGATATGTATGTTGTGTAGTGCCTCTGTATTTTAGCTTTATTTCCCTGCTTCACATAGCATTTAGTACTCAGACATAATGTGTGTAAGTTTTTTGTTAGCTTATCAAAATATGAATGATTTACCAAAACCTCATCTTTTATGCAGCTTTTTGGACTTAGTCACTAAGACATCATTGGTTCCCTCTCCTCATGCAGTGATACTGAGCCTCAGTAGGTTGGTGATGTTTATTGCCTCCAGAACACCAGATACTCCACAAGGTGGGGTCAAGTCAGGTGATTTGGGACAAGAACAAGAAACAAGAAAACTATAATAAATTCTGAAGACTACCTTAAGTGTTACTTTTAGAACTTGTTGGATTTCTGCTATATGTCTATAAGGAAAAGATGTTGCCAAGTAAAATAGACTGTCATGGTTCATGCCTGTTTCCTTGGTGCTATATTGTCAACAAAGGATATTATTCCCTTTCAAACTACACCCCCCCCCCTCCAGAATGTGCCTGTCAGCATGAGAGAGAGACATGCAAGTGTATGTATGCACCCACATTATGTGTGCATATGTGGGTGTGTGCTTGTGTGTAGCAATGATGGCTATTGTGGGTGACATGGACTCACTGGACCATCTTTTAAGAGACAAAAATACTAAAGATGTCTGTAATTTGACAGGGTGGCACACAATAGCATATTAACTCATGATTTTATGGCACCTGGTAGCCCAGAAACATGCCAGTTTCACTTAAGAAAAATGTCCGGTTTTACCTAATACATTCAGGTAAAATGGGACAGTGACTCAAAACGCTTTCCCATAAAAGTAAAATGTATTGTGAAAATATTTATATAACAGTCCAACTTCATGCAAACCTTTATGGTGTTATACTCTTATTGATTTTGCTGAGAAAATCAACCTTGCAAGTTCTGGGACCAGTGATTTTTTTATCTTTGCTCTGCACATCCTAGTTATCTCTTATTTATTTATTTATTTAAGAGCCCAAGATGTAAAACCTCATTTGCCACATTTTACCAAATTACCCGACATCACACAGGCCTTTAAAAGGTCCAACACCTCATCCATGGTGATGCCTTCCTCGCACATAATGAGAGTAATTATCTCTGCAAGGTACAGCAACATTTCTGGTACATGCCGCAATGTAGTCTATAACCTTTTTGCAGACCCTTCAGGTATTGCAGGGAGAGCAGCATCCCTGCAACGTGCAGTGTATGGAGCAACAAACTCATGCGTCCTTGAGAAATACTGCTGTCCTCGAGTGTCTTTAGCACAGTGAGGACTGCAGGCTGAGTCTGCATTATTCAGCGTCCCTGAGTGCTCCAATTTGGATGTCATTTGGATCTATTTGTAGTTCATTATCTGTTCATGTCCAGAAAATGTATCTGTATGCACACGCCCACTTTAATCATGTACACAATGGGGATGCAACAACAGACAAGTTCTGTATCTACTGCAGTTTGGGAGTCACAGGGTATACAATGCTCAATACTTGGTGGCAGGATCAATCAAATGTTTTTTTTTTGTCTTTTCAGCCTTATACAGTACTTACCAACACAAGGTTTAAATGATTTTTAAACAACCAGTAAACTCTGGGTGAAAGAGCTCAGATGAATCGATTTGAAAGATACACTCAGGGTTTCCAGAGAGGGGGAGAGGATGAGCACTCCGGTTGGACGGACACAGCAACATGACACCCAGGCTATGAACAAACGACCACAAGCAGATAATGTGCATTTGGCAAAATCTGATCCACCGATCGAGGATATAGTTTCTAGTGGGAGCAGGAGCGGCACAACGCACAGATGTCCAACCTGTAGAGATCCAGGAAGTGCCAGGCCCAGAGTCGTCCGAAAGTGCCCGGAACTTCTTAGTGGTGCAAAGTAATCCCTCTAACATCAAGAAACAGATCAAATGGCCTGCAGCTATCAGTTTGATGAAGATGTCAACCAAGGTCAAGGGAAAGGCCGATAGGAAGTTACAAGCCATGACAACAATCATTGTCAGCATTACAGTTGAATGGTTTGAACCAGAACACCTTACTCAAACAACCAAAGAGCAGTGGTAAAGCAAAGGTCTTCTTCAGTGCCATTTCCAATCAAATGTGCACCTACCTGGCCAAGAACACCTACACCGACACATCAGTCCAGAAGGGTGGCATTTCAGGGATGCCAGGCTGTCTGGAGCACACCAGTGTGGTGACACAGCACATCAGGAGGCCAGAGAGAACGAGGGCAGCCTATCAGTGCTTTGGCTTGACGGGGAAATGCATATGGCTCTATTCTACACATGATGGTGCAGCTCACTGACTAAAGGTCTATACAGCAACTTTAGGATCAATTACATCAAGCTGCAACAAGGTGGAGATCTGCATCATCACAGGGTGATCTCTGACACTGCCATGAATATGCTCACTAAGTCTGCTAAACCGGAGTGAAGAGGGCCCAGAATGAATTCCGCTCAACAGCAACCACCCATTCAAGATTTACGGTGCTGAGGAAAGGGATATGGCTGGGGCTGTCAAGAAGCCTGAGCAGCATCACACTCTACGGACACCACAACAAACTGTAACTGCCCTTCAAGACCTTGGAGGAGGTATTCAAGGTAACAAGAGCCAGAGAAGTGATTCAGTACAGTGACTCAAATGATCCGAAGGTGGCTAATCTGGCAGCAAGTGGAGGGCAGAGGAAATTGTTCAGGAGGCAGTAGCAAGGCTGCTTCACAAGAGGCTGGTGGAAATAAAGCAACATGGAACTTTGACAGGATGGGTGAATGCAGTCGAGAGGAAAGTGACCCAGGCAGAGCTGTGGAAAGCTGAGCCACATCAAATTTCTCATTCATGCTATGTACGATGTGCTTTCGAGTCTATCACATCTGCACACATGGGGTGAAGCAGAGTCACCAGCGATTCACCACTGTGTTCCAACTGAGGAACCCTGCAGCACATCCTCAACTGCTACACAAATGCACCTGGAGAGGGATAATAATAATAATAATAATAATAATAATAATAATCTTTATTTGTAGAGCACTTTTCAAAAACAAGTTACAAAGTGCTTTAACAAGTGTAAAGACAATAATACCCAAGAGACAATAACACAAAAACAATACAAGATTATAGCATGAAAACATTGAAAAGACTAAAATACACATTTAAGATAAATATTAAATTAGTAAGATACAATAAAATAAAAGGGAAGTCAAATAAGATCGGGAAAGGCTCTCCTATAAAAGTATGTTTTAAGAAGGGACTTAAAAGAGTTCACTGACTCAGCCGACCTGATTTCCTCGATGGTACCAATGGAGGCATGATCAGGTCCTGAAGACCACCGTTGAAGCCATCAGTGCAGGAGTTGAGTGGGTGAAGCTGTCCCAACCCTGCAAGCAGGCCATCACCGTTGTTAGGGCTGGGGAGCAGCCAAAACCTGCCAAAAGAACATCTGCAGGCATCCTGACCTCTGCAAGGGACTGACAGCTGTTGGTGGATCTCAAACAGAAGCTGTCGTTCCCCAGCTATATTGCAGCCACCACCCTGCGACCAGACAGTGTCCTTGTGTCTGAGTCCACCAAGCAAGCAGTGCCATAAGAAGTGGTCTGGTCGGCAGGCTGAATGGAAAGCAATATGAATCCCACTGGAGGATGGACGCAGGGAAATCGCAGCCCTTCCTTTAGCATTCTGACTGGTACAGGATTTAGGAGTACAAGGATTGCAGCAGAGACAGATTATATAGACTTACAGAATTGTGAGGAAGGCAAGGGTCAACACCAGGAAAGCAGTCCAAACAGGTAAACAGATCAAACACAAGTATCTGATACAACAAAAGAGCATGAGGAACATGGCAACTTTGACAATCTGGCAAAGAGTGAGTTGGAATGGTCTAGTTAAGTATCTACAGGGCTGGTGAGGGAATGTGGAAATAGGTGAGTAGTTTGGTGCGGTGATGAGGAAAAGAAGGAAAGTCTGAGGCATCTGGTGAACAGCTTGAGGATGGCGAGTCTGGGGAGTTGGGGCTAGAAAGAAAGACAGAGAGCAATGCACAGGGTTAGAGATGGGAGAGTGTGGCTGAAGAGAAGGACGGAGGGCCAAATTGTGACCAGCAATGAGGCAGAGAAGGGCTTTTTTTAGCTTGTCACCTCTTACAAAACAACATGTGTAGTTGGGGCTCCTTGAAGAATTTCAGTCCTCATAGTCATTCATTTTCAGACATACAATTATTTAAATCAGATATATTAGATATAAGATAAACATTTGTGATAACAAATGCCAGTGGAAAACAATATGACTCATCACTAGTGATGAACATACAGAGAATTATCAAGTCAGAGTTATTGCAGGTTTTTGTCACAGTGTGATTTGAGCAATAATACAAAACCTCTTTCTGTTTTATATTAACCATGTCCACATAAATAGTGAATCCCAACTGTTAACACTGAAACGTTATTACACAGCTTGCTTTGTGGGACCACTGACAGTTTTGATATAGGATTTTATAGTCCAATTACAAGTGGGCTGATCTTTCTTGTTTAAGAAAGACCAACACATCCCTCTAATAGAAATAGCAAGCGAGTCTTTAATGCAGGACTAATCTCTGCAAACCCCCATCTATTCCCTGGCAGTGCATTATTAATGGGCAGTGTGGAGGGTGGTGAGTACAGGGGCCTCTCCTCACTAATGTGTTCATTCCTCATTGTTAGATGTCTGGTAAGGGAAAACACAAATACATGCTGCC